CTTTGAAGCTAAACCATTCATAAATAATTTTTTGATGTTTTCAAACCGAATATGATAATGTCTCTGTTTCCATTTTGAATAACTGGAATTTTGCCTGTTGTTTGCATAATATCTTGATATAGAGATATTTTCTGGTAGATCATTTTCATTTTCTACAACTTTATTGTCTTAAACAACTGCATTTCACAAGTGTGTATTAAAGATATTATTTGTCTTTAGAATTTTATTATCAACTTCTAAAATTGTTGGCAGCATTACATAGACATATTGATACTTTCAATTCCAATGAATATACTTTTCTCATTTTGTAGTATAGAACTATTTGATCTTGTAAAGATTTTTGAAAGCATAGCCTTATCTCCAATTAGCGCTTAGTATCATCTTTCATAAGTTAAATGTTTGAAGCTGTTAGTAGCCCTTAAATTGTGAGAATGAATTTTTGCTACATTGAGGTTGCTGCATACCATTTCTCAAATAATAATGTTCGTGGTCTTTTATAAATTAGAATAAATAGGGTAGACCTAAATTTGAAAATATATGTTAGCCTTACAGTATAGAATTAAAAGGACATTTTTTCAAATGTTTCTGTCTTCAAAAGTAGACAATCGTCATCAAATGACAATTTTACTCTTGAGGATCCGTTTTATTACTCAAACATCAAGCAAACCATAATTTTTTGCATGAAAGAATAGTAATAAAATTTCAAGGTTATGAATATGTTTAATCACTATTTAATACTTTAATGTTTAAGCCCAAAACCACAGGCTGCATAATAATATTACAATGGAGCTAGCTAAATTCATAGTTTGAAGTGTAACGCCAATTATCGTATCAAAGCCATTGAAAGATTAGAAAAAAAACAAAAGAGTCACATTCAATTAATTCGTAATGTATCAATATAAAGGGAACTCTTAAGATAGGGAATCTTCAAAAAAACCACTTTATTATTATGAACCTTCCTTTGCGATAACGTTAAGCTGAAGGATATCCATAAATTGTTGAATATAAATTAACACAGATGTAAATTTTTCATGATAGCAATGAGGCTGTTAACTTTGTGATTCAATCAGAGTTTTATTTTCAGTGTTGATAATAGTGTATCTGTGTGGTTCCAAGCTTCGTTACCTTGAAAATTTATGAGAACAGGTGAAAATTATGTTGCCCATGTGACTTTAATAGGCTTTTAAAAATGTTGAAATACCAAATTTTGTGTCTTAATACTACTTGTTTATAAAAGGCTCTATTAACGAATGTGTGTTTCAATAGTCATAAGACAGGTATCTTGGTTATTTAATATTAATTTATAAATTTAAAGATATTAAAACGATCTAGTTCAGCAGAAAATTGTAAATTTATGGATAACCAATTTTTACATAATTCATTAAAGTGTATTTTTTTTTGCTAAAAGAAATTTTATTTAGGAATTTATTAACTATACAAATTTCTGATTAGAAGCCCTATATTCCCAAAAAAGAATGATCACTAGTATTACGATTATTTAATTTAACACAGTCTTATTTCTCAAAATAATTTTGTCGCTTATAATAATGTAGCTCCCAGAAATTTTTCATGGCCATTACAGGTGCTTAATTAAACACCCATTCTTTCATACTTACCTAATGGTCCAGCCAGAATTCTGATGTATAAACCAGAACGATAATTAATTGAGTTATCACAGGACAGCAAGTATAGTAGTGTTCAATAAAATGTACAAAACTTGAATAACTAAATTTTAAAACTGATATATCTAATTTTGAAGGTACAAAGAGAAAAAGAGAAAGAAGTTACCAAGGTGGGTTTATTCACCCTCATTTTCTTAAAGGACTTAGGAAAACTTCTCAGTTTCATAATACTGAATAGAGCATTAAGTATAAAGTAACATGAATGTTATTGTTTTTAAAGCATAATTCATGAACAGTAAAAAATTAGAATGGAAAGACAGAATATTAACTTTTTTACAAAACTTTGCCATCACTTAAAAAGAAAATAGATATTTAAGAAAAGAGCACCTAGTCATGTTATATTCAATGTAATAATGAGTAGGAGTAGGTTTTGTATTTAAATATTTGGGGCACTGCTGATTATCAACCAAAAATTGATATAACTATATAGGAAGGGGAAAAGGCTTTTTTAATTTTGTTCAATCAAGGTTTTATAGATAGTTAGATTTTTTCTGATTGAGCAATTAGAATTAAAAAGACTGCCAAAAAAGCAATTCAATCTAGGATTATCATACATGAATTTCTGATTATCCAACATAGGATCTATAACTAAAGAAGGATTTATCACTTTCTAGATAAGGTAGGAATTCTTCATTATGCATTCCTAGATAGGAGCTATTGGATTTCTATTCTAAAGATAGTGATAAGAATAAGATTCAATTTTTCAAGATTTATAATTAGAGAAAAGAAAGGAATTACTGAATAGGAAAGATAGAAGAAGAAATAAAGCTGTTATAGGATAAGTATGAAGTCTGAAAGGATGCGAAGAAGTAGATCAGAATGTAAAGTGTTGATACAGTATATGATATTGAAAGATCCATTTTTAGGAGGTAAACGAAATAATACTTTAGCGATAAGTTCAGATTCAGAATTCATTAAGATGAAATTAGGAAGAGATTCTTATAAAATGTCAATATGCACCTTGAAATAAACGAAAGATTTCATGTATATAGGATCTGACCTAATGTTTTTAAAGGAATTTTATTATTATTATGGAAGGAGATAAGAATCTACTAGCTTTGTTAAAATTCTATATTAAGAATTCTCTCCATTTGTGTGTCTTAAGCTTTAGGTAGTAAGAATAAGTCTGTTCTCAATGAACTTGCTCATTCTATTGGATGTGAGCCTCAAATGGCAAAGATTAATATAATTCATATTAAATTAGTAAATCTTTCAGATACGCACTTAAGGGGTTTTATAACTGCTTGTAGTAATTACTTAGTCAATTTCCTAATAATTTTTTATTTTTATAGTTTTATAAGTTTTAAAAGCCATGAGTTCTC